TTTGGATGCATACGAAGAAGTGGGCTGTAGTCCACGAAAGCTTATGCTCTAATAAATTTGTTAGTCTCTAAGGTGCCACAAGTACTCCTGTTCTTTTTGCGGATACAGACTAACACGGCTGCTACTCTGAAACCGATGTTTATATAGCTATGATTCCCCCCGAATCTCCTTTAAACAGCTTGGGAAAGAAGACCCAAAATCACAAGCCTGCGTGTGAAACAAAAACCAGCACGCACGAAGCAAGCGTTACAAGAGTCGGGGGGCCTGCTGCAAACGCTTATGTTTGTGCTCATTAACCTTACCCACGCGAGCTAGCCCACTGATTTAAATGGGACTACTCATGCTTGCAAACATAAGCACATAGATGTTTGCAGCGCAAGGGCTGCAGGGTGCGCCGCACCCCTCCTTCGGAGGACACATGGGATTTGGTTTTAAATTGTCTGTACAAGCTACTATAAGGCCGCATCCTCTCAGGTAACCGTCTCCTCCGGATCCCCGCGTCAAGCCGCCACATGCCCTTGTCTGTGCGGTTGCAGTGTCAGGCTGGTGCAAGGGCGAGCTCCACCCCAGACACGCTAGGCACACCCGGGGGAGGCCCGCAGGCTCAGGAGGTTGGCAGAAGAGCCCAGGCGGTTCCGCGGCTCTTTTAAAGCCCGGTTGCTCTGATTACGGCCGTTGGAGCGCGGAGGCGACGGCGCGCAGGGGAGAAGGGCGGAGGGGGGTAACCTGGCTGAGCGCGGCGAGCCTGCCTGTCCCGCCGCCCGGCCCGGGTGGCCGCCGTTGCCAGGGAGCGGTTCGTTCCTCCTCGCTGGGCCGCCGACCCGGAAGCGCTTTAGCCCAGCCTCGCTCGGTGGCGGGGGCCGAAGATGGCCGAGTCCCCGGAGGAGGTGGCGGTGCTGGTGCAGCGGGTGGTGAAGGACCTTAACAACGCCTTCAAGCGGAACCCCCACATGTGAGTGCGGCTTGGGGACTCGCCGGGCTGCGGGGGAGAGGGGCGGCTGCCGGGCTCCAGCTTCCCAGGGGCTAAGCGGAGACGCCGGCGCCGACTTAGTCTCCGCTTGTCCCGTGCGGGGCAGGGGCAGCAGTATCCTCAACTCTGGGGCCGCTGCCTCCCCGGCCGGGGACAGCGCCCTCAGCAAAGGTGGGGTGAGCCGCCCCTCTCGCCAGCCCCCTCGCCCCGGCGTGGGACGAGCACCCCTGGCTGGGACAAACCAGCCGGTGAGACTTTCCCTGCTCCAGCATCTTCTCAGCGAGGGGCGCTGAGGGCTTCACGGACACCCTTGCTGACTCCTCTCCCCACCCCTGCCAGGGAGGTGATCCGAGCACAGCAGCTGGGGAAAGTGGGCTCCAGAGGGGTAAGGACCCGACTCCAGTAGTCCCTGTCTCGCCCAAGGTCGCACAGATGAAGTCAGCTGTGGCTGGCCTCTGGATCTGTTGACTCCCCGAGGCGCCGGCCTTAATTAGGTTAACTTCTTTCGCAGTCATGTAAACTTGGCTTATGGCATCAGTTTCGACATACCTGAGGTCGGTAAGGTTAAAGGGTTATTATTCTGATGGCTTTCCTAAACTCAGTTATTAAAAACATCTCTGATTACTGAAACAGGACAAATTATAAATATTTAATTTTTTGCGTCACTATTTATGCTTTTTGATTTTTATTTATTTGCTTACCTTGGATAGTAGAGAATTATCTCTTTGTTCTGGGATTGTGTGTGGCTCTTACATACCATGATGATAGGCACCATATAAAAATCATAGATCTTTCCACTGTTGTTTTTTAATCTGTTGGATTTACAAGGTCTGTTGGACTGTTTCACCCCAGTACTGCACATTATTTGTAAACACAATATGGGAGAATTTATTTGTGTATTAAGAGGAGAAAAGTCTTTCACTGAATGGAGATATATATATATATATAGAGAGAGAGAGAGAGAATGTAAATGCATGGAAACATTCCTTTTAATGTTAGATAATGTTAAAGAAATCTAAATTTTGAAATGACTGTGCCTCCTTGAGGCCCCAATCCTGTAATGGACTCTACCTGGCTCAGGGGTCCACTCACATAGCATTTATAGTAGGATTGGGGCTGAAGCTCTGTGTAGCTCAAAAGCCAGTCTCTTTCGCCAACAGAAATTGGTCCAGTAAAAGATACTACCTCACGCTCCTTGTCTCTCCAGTGTCCTGGGACCAGCACGGCTACAATATCTCTCCTCTAGGTGACAGAAATCCTTAGGATTACATAAATATGGCTAGCTGCCTTGGCAGGTAGCCAGGCTTTAAACCATAGCATATGGGTGCTGTCAGAAATAAGCCTTTTTAAAACTAGATTTAGCCATACACTTTCCCTTTAGGGTTGTGAGGCATAATGCACAGTAAACAGTCAATGTTTGTGTGCAGCCTAAAGAAGGGCTTTTGCTTCTTTTCACATTCTACGCTGTGAAAACTCCCTTTGATTTCAGTGGTAGCAGACTCAAACACTTTTTCGTTAAGATGTGCTGCTGTTGCCGTCTGCCTTCATGGCGAAAAGTAGGTTAGAAGTAAAAGTTTGTGCGCCTTGATACTGACCTAACATAGCATGCTTAAGTGTGATTCCCTGCGGGTCAGGGTAGATACTTATTGGTGGGACAGTGTGGGAAAGCTGCTGCTGTTATAACTGTTCTATAGAAAAACAAGGGACTTCTGTGCCCAAGACTGTCAAGCTGGGCTTCTTAAGGTGAACATAGGCACCGGCTGACATGGTTCACAGTTGTCCCTCAAAGCGTACCCCTTCTGCCACGAGAAGGAGACCCTAGCACATGCTTACCTCCAGTCTGTAGCCCAACTTCTGACTCCTCCAGAACCTTCTGCTGAGATTCTGGTTTCCTTTTTCTTCGCATCTCTGGGTACTCCATCCGTGGCCCCACCAAGTCATAAGACCTCAGTTCAACCTTGGCACTGGCCAAGATAACTCCCTGGACTAATGGATGGGTGATGCTCAACAGGGTGGGTGATCAGTGATTGTGGGATCTTCTTTCTTTTCCTACCCTTTTCACACATTTGGGCAGAGTTCCTCTGGACAGTGTCCACCAACTCCTTCACAGAGCAGTGGCACTGTCCAGGGTTCTCTGCTTCATGACCCCATCTGGTACTCTTCTTTTGAACCTTTGATCCTTACACAGTTGAGTGGATGGGCCCTTCATCCTGGGTAGGTCAACACCCACCCTCTTGAGAATTCAGGTAGGCTTCTTGGGCACTAAATTCACTAAGAGACAATAAAAAGTAAAGTTCTAAGCTGAATGTAAAACGGAGTTGTTGTCTCTCATATTGGGTTTTTAATTAATTAGGAGGAAAAGGTGTTTGGTTTTTTTCTTGTTTTTGTTTTTTTTAAGGCAAACTTACTTTTTATTTCTTAGGTA